GGCGGGGGGGGCCAATTTGTAAAGAAAATTTTCCCCCACCCAGGGGGGGGGGGGGGGGGTTTCTCCCCCTCTTTGGGCCAAGAGAACATAAAAAAAAAAATTTTTTTTTGGGGGGGGGGGGGGGGGGGGGAGAGAGAACCGCAGGTTGTGTAGTGCTCGCGTGGTTTCGTGCTACAGCATTACCAAGTTGACTAAAGCTCTCTCTTGTCATCTTCCCCTCCCCGGCTCTCCCCCCCCCCTCTCTTCCCCGAACACCCTTAGCAGGATGCAGCGCACCCTTCATGCGACTCGCCGAATACCTCACGGCGCTTCGCGCTTGGTGATGTGAGAGCCTGGTCCGGTGCGAACCCGGCGTGCTCCGTCCCGGCTTTATAGGGATGGGAGGTAAATGGTTTAAGGGTTAGGGCATGGGTTTACAGGAGGACACCCCCCCCCCCCCCCGTCTCTCCCCCCCCTCCCTCTGTACCAGTTGACTACAGCTTTCTCTTGTCTCTCTCCCCCCTCCCTCCTCCGTGGAAGTGTAAATGGGGGGGGAGAGAGAGAACTGCAGGTTGTGTAGTGCTGGCGTGGTTTGGTGCTACAGCAGTACCAGTTGACTTAAGCTCTCTCTCGTCTCTCCTCCTCCCCCCCCTCTCTTCTCCCCGCCCTCCGTCCCCTCTCCCCTCATACCCGGGTGTGCGCCGAAGATGGAGTCCACGAAGAGGAGAGGCAGGGGCCCCGAGTTAGCGAAAGAGGTGCACGTGCGGAGCTCTCTCGCCTCTGGAGACCCCTCCTTCAGGCCCAGGATTTTCTCCATGGCCTGCGGGGGCGACGACAGCAACGACGGAAAACAAAACAAACAAAAAAACGGCACATCGTTCCTTCTTCCCGGCAATTGTGGTTTTGGGGGATGCGAGGTCAATTCTTTAAAACGACCACAGCATGCGTCCCGGCATTGTGGTTATAGGGGTGCGAGGTCAATGGTCTAACGACTACGGCATGCGTTTACATGAGGACCCCCCCCCCCCAAA